AATGCCCCCATCTACAAAGTGGGCACGGAACAAGGAAGAACTGTAGCCCCTCTCCACTAACCTCCAGCAGTATCCTGTGCCTGCAGGCCACAATATCAACAGCTGCTTGCATAAAAGTTTAAGATGACTTCGTCGTTCCACAACAGCACACAGCCCCCTGTTTTTCTTCTCTCTCACTCTTCCTGTCCAGTTTCCTCTCCAACTGGCATTCAATTCACATCTCTGTCTTATCCTCTGATGCTCAGGGTTCCAGAATCACCATCTAGATCTGCTTTACTAGGTTCCCATGTCTTTTGCAGAGCTTCTGCTCAGTGCATCTTCTTAGTCTGCCATCTTGCCTGGGAGTCTGAAAAGGTCCATATTTATTTCTTCTTATTATTATGTTGCTAAATAAATTACAGAGTTAAAAGTTGGATTTACCTATCTCAATTGAACAAAAATATTAAACATCCCTGAACTGTTGAACCAACTGAAGGACTCAAATTGAAATTCCACTCCCCAGTACCAGAAGCAGACAACTGTGCTGGAAGTAGACATACAAACCTCAAGATTACAGAATAAGATCCACAAAGTTTCCACAAAATTTGAACTTTTTGAACTTTGTTTCTTAATTATCGGCATTTCCTTCCCCTACATGTCCTGGTATGGTGCTGCAGGATTAGCACTGGTCTACAAAGTCTGTTTGAACCACAAGGTCAGCAGTTCAAATTAACTAGCTGCTTCTTGGAAACCCTATACAGGGTCACTATGAGTTGGAATCGACTTGACAGCAATTAACAACAACAACAATAATGCCATCTTATATATGAATCACTGAAGGATCCAATTTCATTATTGCAATAAATGGTATGCTGCTTTGCCTTGCATACTATTTCTGGACAGTCTTCATACATTATTAAGGTTATCTCTGGATTTCCCTTTTTCATATTCAAAATTTCCATTGGAGTTTAACATGAAAATGCATTTGTCAGGTTAGCTCAGTTGTAAATTCTTCAAAGGTAGAACAAAATATTAAATAAAACTGTTAGAAAGCTACATGGCATCATTCTAACTGTGATAGTTAAGGTTTTGTGTCAACTTGGATGGGCCAGGATTCTCAGAGGTTTAGCAGTTAAAATGTAATCACCACCTTTATGATGATATCTAGTATGATGCACATATAGATATAATGTATATGAGCTCTGGTAGCATAGTGGTTACGAATAGGGCTGCTAATCTCATGGTCAGCAGTCCAAAACTACCAGGGTTTCACGAGAGAAAGAGGAGGCTTTCTGCTCTCATAAAGATTTACAGCCTCGGAAATCCTATATAAATTTGCTATGAGTTAGAAGTGACTCCACAGCACATAACCACCACCATATGGTGTTGATGTTAAGTGCCAGTGAGTTGATTCCAAGCCACAGTGACCCTGTATAGGGTTTCTGAAGAGCAGCTGGTGGGCTTAAACTGCTGACCTTGCAGTTCAAATGGCTTTGCAGTCTGGCTCATTAATCCACAGCACCATACTAGAACTCCACTACATATATATGGTGGAGGTGGTGGTGGTTATGTGCCGTGGAGTTGGTTCTGACTCATAATGATCCCTGAAGGGTTTCCGAGGCTGTAAATCTTTACGGGAGCAGAACAGCTGGTAGTTTCAAACTCCTGATCTTAAGGTTTGCAGCCCAATTCGTAACCACTACGCTACCAGAGTTCCATATATATATATATGTTTTTGTTGTTGTTGTTAGGTGCCATCGAGTAGGTACCAACTCATAGAGACCTTATGCACAGCAGAACAAAACACTGCCCAATCCTGGGCCAACCTCACTACTGTTGCCATGCTTGAGCCCATCGATGCTGCCACTTGGCCAATCCATCTTGTTGGGGGTCTTCCTCTTTTTCTCTGACCCTCCACCTTACCAAACATGATATCCTTTTCCAGTGACTGGTCCCTCCTGACAATATATCCGAAGTATGAGAGACGAAGTTTGGCCATCTTGGCCTCCAAAGAGCACTCTGGAGGCCTATTGGTTCTATTGGTTCTTTTGGTAGCCCATGGCACTTTCAATATTCTCCTCCAACACCATAACTCAAAAGCATCAATTCTTCTACAGTCTTCCTTATTCACTGTCCAGCTTTCACATGTATATGAGGTTATTGAAAATACCATGGCTTGGTCAGGTGCACCTTAGTCCTCAAGCTGACATCTTTGCTCTTCAACACTTTAAAAAGGTCTTGTGCAGCAGATTTGCCTAATACAATACGTCGTTTGATTTCCTGACTGCTGCTTCTGTGAGTGTTGATAGTTGATCCAAGAAGAATGAAGTCCAAGAAGAATGAAGTCCTTGACAACTTCAATCTTTTCTCCATTGATAAGAATGTTGTTTATTGGTCCAGTGGTGAGGATTTTTGTTTTCTTTACATTGAGATGTAATCCATACCAAAGGCTGTGCTCTTTGATCTTCATCAGTAAATAATTTAAATCCTCTTTGCTTTCAACAAACAAGATCATCTGCATATTGCAGGTTGTTAATGAGTCTTCCTCTAATCCTGATGCCACAAATTTCTTCATATAATCCAGTTTCTTGGATTTTTGCTCAGCATACAGATTGAATAAGTATGGTAAAAGAATACAAACCTGGCACACACCTTTCCTGATTTTAAAAATTCAGTGTTCCCTTGTTTTGTTCAAACAACCTCATGTTCGAACTTCTATGTACAGGATCCTCATGAGCATAATCAAGTGTTCCAGAATACTCATTCTTTATAAAGTTGTCCATAGCTTGTCATGATGCACATAGTCAAAAGCCTTTGCATAGTCAGTAAAGCACAAGTAAACATCTTATTGGTATTCTCTGCTTTCAGCCAAGATCCATCTGACGTTAGCAATAATATGCCTCTTTCCATGTCCTTGTGTAAATCTGGCTCTCTTGCAGCTACCTGTTAAGGTACTATTGTAGCATTTAAAAATTATCTTTAGCAAAATTTTACTTGCATGTGACATTAATGATATCCAATGATTTCCACATTCCATTGGGCCACTTGTATTTGGAATGAATCTCTTCCAATCAGTTGACCAGGTAACTGTTTTTGAAATTTCTTGGCATAGAGAGTGAGTTCCTCCAGTGATATAACAGTTTGTTGAAATATTTCGATTTGTAATCCATCAATTCCTAGAGTCTTGTTCTGTGCCAATGCTTTCAGTGCACTTTGGAATTCTTCCTTCAAAACCACTGGCTCTTGATTATATGCCAACTCTTGAAATGGCTGAACATCAACCATTTCCTTTTGGTACAGTGACTCTGTGTATTCCTTCTTTTGATGCTTTCTGCCTCATTCCATATTTTGCCTAGAGAATCCTTCAATGTTTCAAGTCAACGCTTGAATTTTTTCCTCATTTCCTTCAACTTGAGAAATGCTAAGCATGTTCTTCCCTTTCGGTTTTCTAATTCCAGGTCTTTGCACATTTCATTATAATATTTGACTTTGTCTTCTTGAGCTGCTCTTTGAAATTTTCTGTTTAACTTTTTTACCTCCTTATTTTTTCCATTTTCCTTTAGCATGTCTATGCTGGAGAGCAAGCTAAGAGTGTCTTCTGCCATCCATTTTGGGATTTTCTTTCTTAATGACTTTTTGCTTTTTTCCTATATGATGTTCTTGATGTCATCCCACAACTCTTCTGGTTTTTGGTTAGTAGTGTCTAATGCATCAAATCTGTTCTTGAGATGATCTTTAAAATTCATGTGGAATATGTTCAAGATTATATTTTGATTTTCATGGACTTGTTGCAATTTTTTTCAGCTTTAACCTGATCTTGCATATTAGTAATTGGTGGTCTGTTCCACAGTCTTCCCTGGCCTTGTTTTGTCTGATAATATGAAGCTTTTCCACTGTCTCTTTCCAGAGATACAGTCAATTTGATTTCTGTGTGTTCTATGTGGTGAAGTCCATGTGTATATGATCATCTTTTATGTAGTTTAAAAAATGGTATTTGCAATGAAGAAGTCATTGGTCTTGCAAAATTCTATCATGCGATCTCCAGCATCGTTTCTATTACCAAGGCCATATTTTCCAACTACTGATCCTTCCTCTTTGTTTCAAACCTTTGTATTACAATCACCAGAAATTACAAATACATCTTGATTACAGGTTTGATCAATTTCAGACTGAAGAGTTTGGTAAAATTCTTCAATTTCATCATCACTGCCTTCAGTGGTTGGTGCATAAATTTGAATAACAGTGGTATTAACTAGTCTTCCCTGTGGGCATATGGTTATTATCCTATCAGAGACAGCATTGTATTTCATGACTGATCTTGATATGCTCTTTTTGATGATGAATGTGATGCCATTCCTCTTCAATTTGTCATTTCTAGCATAGTAAAACATGTGACTGCCAGATTCACTAATGCCTAGGATATCAGTTTATGCATTCCTTTTCATTCTTTATGATTTCCAGTTTTATACATTCTATGTTCCGATTATTAATGGATGTTTACAGCTGTTTTTCTTCATTTTGAGTTGTACCCATCAGCAAATGAAGGTCCCAAGGGCTTTACTCCATCTGCGGTCATCACAGCCAACTCTACTTCGAGGAGGCAGCTCTTCCCCCAGTCATATTTTGAATGCCTTCCAACCTGAGGGCCTCATCTTCCAGCACTATATCTGACAATATTCTGGTGCTCCTCATCATGTTTCAGTATTCTGGTGCTGACAGCATTCCACTGCTATTCATAAAGTTTTCAGTGACTAAATATTCTGAGGCGATCTGCTCCCGTAAAGATTTACAGCCTCGGAAACCGACTCAACGGCACTTAACAACAACAAATATTCTGAAGCAGTCCATTGTCCCTTCTTCCTAGTCTGTCTTCATATAGAAGCTCAGCTGGATGTCCCGAATATGGGAAGTCCTTCAGAGGATGTGCAGCTTTTCTAAAACATCAGAGACTACATATTCAAAAGAGACTTGAATGTGAAAACATCTGTACTCTGGACTTGAACTTTATTGAACAGCAGATAATGCATAAGGAAGATAGACCTTATGAATGTACAGAGTGTGGAAAAATGTTCCCGGGAAGCTCAGATCTAATTCGTCATTGGATAATTCATTATTGGAGAGAAACCCTATGAATGTAGAGAATGTGGGAAAGCCTTTAGGCAAAGGGCACACCTTGTTACACATCAGAAAATTCATACTGGAGAGAAGCCCTATCATTGTAATGAGTGTTGGAAAGCCTTCAGGCAGCATTCCCTCCTTCTTCAACATTAGAGAATCCATAGAGGTGAGAAACCCTATGAATGTAAGGAATGTGGAAAAACCTTCATCTGGCACGCAGCTTTCATTAAGCATCAAAGACTGCATACTGGAGAGAAACTTGAAAAAAATGAGAAAATCTTCAGGAAGATTGATTTGCATAGGGAAGAGCACAAAGAGAATATTTATCAGTGTAATCAGTGTGGCAGAACTTTCCGAAGCAGCTCAGATCTCATCAGACACCAGGTCATTCATTCAGGAGAGAAGCTATATGAATGTAAAGAATGTGGAAAAACTTTCAGTCAGAACTCTGACCTTATGAGACATCATAGAATTCATAGTGGAGAAAAACCTTATGTGTGCAATAAATGTGGAAAATCATTTAGGGGCAGCTCAGACATTATTAAACACCATTATGTTCATACTGGGGAGAAACCCTATGAATGAATGCTCTGAATGTGGGAAGGCTTTCAGTCAGAACTCACACCTCACTAGTCATCAGAGAATTCACACTGGAAAGAAACCCTTTGAATGTAGCAACTGTGGAAAGGCCTTCAGTGGGCACACATCTTTTCTTGAACATCAAAAACTTCACACTGGAAATGAATTGGGGGAACCTGAGAGAATCGTCAAATAGGACTTATTCTATGGATAACAGAACCTAATGATTAGGAAAAGCCCTATAAAAACCAGATATTTTTGCACTATGTAGAATTTTTTGTTTGAAGTTAAGAAAACATTAGAAAAGTGTTAATGGGTGGAAGGGAGCATGTGGTGGCTCCATATAATACGTACTGGACTGAGACCCACAAGGTCTGTGGTTTGAGCCACCAGCCTCTCCACAGGAGAAAGATAAAAGCTTTATGCTCCTCTGAGAATTTAAAGCCTCAGAAACCCTAAATAGGTCTCTATGAGTCAGAACTGACTTGATGGCATTTAACAACAACAATGGGTGGAAAACATACAAGTGCAATTAGTTGGAAGACCTCATGAACATAAAAGCCTTTTTTTTAGCCTCAAAGTTGCTACTGGAGTTTTGGCCCCAAAGGTATTACTATTTGAGAATGTTTTAGAGTCTTTTACTGTTCTTAAGTCACTAGAAATCACTTGACAACCTCAAAACTGAATTCTTTATGGAAGGAGTTATTTCATTCTTGAATGCCTAGTCTAGTGACATGTATAAATCTGCATCTGGTGCTTTAGGATGATTAAATCTGTCTGTGGGCAAATTCTTCCCTTTAGATGTGTATTTTATACATGTTCCCCTCTTATCTTCCTTAAAAATATGTGGTGGTATTAAGTGCCATCAAGTCAGTTCCAACTCATAGCAACCCTCTATAGGGTTACCCCAACCTTGTAGTTCAAACGGACATTGAGGTCACTTGCTTATCGTATGGCACCACACCAGGACTCCTAAGTATACTTATGCCTATGTTATAACATTGATGAGGATGATCCATGAATTAATAAGAAACAACAACAACAAAATACAAATAATTTGACAGGACAAGAGCCAAGGGAGGTGTTCTACAGAGAAAGAAGTGGCTACAAGTAGTATCAGGAAACCAAAGAGCAAGTGACTGAAGAGCAATGGATATTGGGAATGGAATTAGACTAACTGCTAGGGCAGAGTATTTAGGTGATACGTGCTAGTAGGAATTAGAAGAAAGCATTAATTATAAAAGTCAGGTAATTCTAGGAAAAGTAATTTTGTCTTGAACCTGGGGTTTATACTGTTAGGTGCCATTGACTCAGTTCTCACTCACAGCAATCCTGTATAGATAGGGTTTCCTAGGCTTTTAAATCTTTGTGGGAACAGAAATCCTTATCTTTCTTCCGTGGAGTAACTAGTGGGCTTGAACTGCCAACCTTGTGGTTCACAGTCCAGTGTTTATCCTATGGAGCCACTATGTTCCCCTTACTCTAATTCTCCCTATGTTTTAAAATAGTTTATTTATCAAGGAATAATTTGTTCTACTGGTTTTTGCTGTTCATGTGTGTATATAACCACCAATCGTGTTTCTGACTGGCATGCCGTAATTGGACTAACATTCTAAAATTCTAGGTAAAAGCACATAACTTACCATTTTCATAAGTGTTTTTAACCCTTTTGTGCAGATACATAATATTTTAGAATATTAACTTGCTTGAAGATCCCAGATTGAAAACTAGCCTCTTCATCGCATCCTTGATAAAGCTTGAATGTATTGATTGGACTTTCAAGAGCAGAGGGAAAAATGAATTGTTACAGTTTGGAAATGTTTTCAACCATGAATGTTAAAATAAAAATCAATCAGCAAATACTAATTGAGTGTCTAATATATGCCACAGGCCATTGTTAGATGGGGCTAGAGAAAAACAATCTTTGTTCATCGAGGAGTATATAGGCCAGTGGGGCTACGGCAGAACATCAATCTTCAGTTAAGGAGGCAGTTCATGAAATGAAGGCCCACTGGAAGCTTTTCTAGGGAGCAGAAGTAAATGTCGTAGTGTCCAATTTATCAGCCTGAATGCTGCAGAAACTAAGGTCTCCCTGTTAGTGAGCAGCCTGATTGGAACTTTGAGAAAAGAGTTTAAAGGAGACCTTAAGCCACTACAGAACTAAACTCCAAGAGCACCAAAAGCTGAGAGAAAACCAGAGCCTGATATCTCTGATGAAAGTGAGTTAGAAAGGTTTCTCCAGATACATATTTCATAGGAAATAAAGACTGTTCTGCCACATTGGAGGAGAAAGGGAGTGTGTGAGGGAGAACAAACAAGATGGCGGCTCGGGTAGACATGCAGTGATGATCTTCATCAGCAACAACACAGAATACCCGACCAAGCAGGTTCAGAGGATGGTCCCAGAACTCTGAACCATGTGCAAAGGAATATTTAGAAAGTTGGAAGGCTTACAGCCAGTGGAATTTGTAGCAGAAGCAAGAAATCCAGTGCTTTCTAAATCAACTAGCTCAGCTGCTCCGAATGACCATCTTGGGTGAGACGGAACGGGTCAGAGCAGCCACAGACGCCTGACAGAACCACGGAAATAAAGGTGTGGACGTACTTTTTTTTGTATCTGTTCATTGGTCTCTCGCTGGCTGCGCACCTTCATTCTGGTGACTAGAGGGGGTGCCTGAGCAAATGGACACCTCACCTCCACCTCCACCCCCCACCCCTACCCCTGCAGGGTTCTATTACGCATGCGCACAGATCTCCTCAAAATTTAAAGGGACAGTTTCCACTTAAAATCAAACAGCAATGCAAAACAGCCACAACGGGCTCTGAACTGTTTATCACTACGAAAAAGGCCTGAACAGGGGTTGTGGAGTGGGACAGGCAGACTGAAAAGGAAACAGGCCGAAAATGAAATTCTGAGTTACGTCATAACGACCAACAGTGGCATCTTAAAATATCTCAGGAAGAAGAATGAAAAAGGAAGCCCATCTCCTGATCACATCTACCTGGAGGCAATCAGAAAGTATAACAAATAACAAAACACACACCCATCTAAGTATTAACGCCATAGCTAACTACTGAATATGTCCCCAAAGCAGAAACAGCTGATCTTATCAGCTCACGTCCAGAAACGAGATAAAATGACTGAGGCAAATGAGCTGGAGGTAGACCTATACTCCATACTGGAAGGAGGGCAGGCTTTGTATATAGTTCAGACTTTAAGTCTGAACTGACTCTACAGCACCTAACAATACCACCTTCACCAAGGCTGAATTTAAGAAGTGTGGCTGTTACAGTGGTACTCTGAAGCCAGCATACAGGAACAAATTTTGTACATCAGCCAGGAGTATTTACACCACAGAAATAAGCAAATGCTACGCATCGTAATTGTTAAACATTTACCAAACACCTGTGGATGGTAACGTTCACTGAGGTACTGCAGACCAGGGCTCAGGGACCTGAAAACCACCAGCTAGGGGGCCAGCAAAACTCACTGGAGGGTGAGCACCACTAGGTCTACACAGCACTGGCCAGTGTGTTATAGGAAAACTAACAAACCAGGAAAAGAAGTCCCTCCTTCTTGGCTTTGTCCCTTCCACCCCCTCTACTAGCAAAGCCTAACTTTGTGCCAACTAACAAAGGGTAAAATGGTTATAGGGTCTAGCTTCAATATCATAGACAGGACAAAGAGTGGATCTGGAGCCAAGAGGCAATCAATTGAATAGTGGCCTACACTTCTGGCTTATTTATACCTCAAGGCATTTATTTTCTCTACCTCCCCAGCCCATGCTTTCTTCCCTAGTAGTTACAGAAGTCACCTCCTAACTTTAACTTGAGGTTTCCACTCAAATGTCACCTTAGAGAAGTCTGTCTCTGCTCTCCGGTATAAGTATATTTCTTTTTCAGATAAATGTCCACATGAACAACAACCTTCAGGCCAAATCCAGCTCATGACCTGTTTTTTTGCTGCACGGTGGCTCTGTAGGACAAGCACTGGACTTGAAACCACAAGGTCTGCAGTTCGAGCCCACCAGCCACTCCATGCAAGAAAGATGCGGCTTTCTGCTCCTGCAAAGATTTACAGCCTTGGAAACCCTATAAAGGATCGCTATGAGTAGGAACTTACTCGACAGCACTTAACAACAACATAATGTAAGAATAGCTTTACCTCTTACTGTTGTTATGTGCCATCAAGTCAGTTCCCACCCATAGCGACCCTGTACAGGGTTTCTGAGGCTGTAAATCTTTACAGGAGCAGAAAGCCTCTATAAAAACGGAGATGCAAAGAACATGTGACAAAGACTGCAAGAAGGCTTCAAAAAGTTTGTGGAAAATGGAATTAAAAAATAATAGAATTTCTCCACAAATTTTTGAAGCCCCCTCGCACATGGTCCACAAAGCCTAAAATGCTTACTATCTAGTTTTGCCTAATACTGGTCTAGGAGACAGCTCAGCTTCACCAGAGATTTCAAGAACCCACATAGCATTCATTTTTTTGCTGCTCTATATTGGTGTTTTATGCAGAATGTTTGCATAGATGAAACTAGACCATTTATATAGCCATATTCTAGCCCTAGGAAAAGAGACATAATAGTCATCAGACAATTTTCTTTTCAGCAAGTTTCATGGAACATGCCTCAATCCTTTGGTGATAACTCGGTCACATGGCCACATTTATTTTGAGGGAAGTTGAAAACATCTCTACCTGGATGGCCATGTACCCTATTATGGAGAAGGGAGAACAGATTTAGGGAGACTGAACAGTTCTCCACCACAAGAAACACCTCCCCACTTCATTGTACCAGAAAAGGAGCCATGTTTCCAGAAGAAGGTCAGAGCATCATCCTGGGAAGGAGACAACAGGGATGAAAGGTCAAGGGTGTGGACCAGGGTTCTGGCTTTGCCGGTGGACACACCAGACATAACCATCATTTTGCAATATCATGTATTAGAATTCAGAAAAACTAAAATCAGAAAATACTTAAGCAAAATAATGACTTGAAATTATCTCTTTTGCGTTTGTTAGTTCAAAAGAAAGCTCCAGGGAGGAAGAATCACTTTCTAGACGGTGGACATGTGTTATTTTTGGTGATGAGAAAGGCAGTACCAAATAGAGATGAAGTCTGCACAACTGGACTAAGATCAATGAAGACACTAAGAAATATGCAAGAACTGAAGATCACATTGCTCCTTAGAAGT